TACGGGCCTGGGCCGTGGCTGGGACACGCGCAGGCGGGCAGGAAGGCGCGAGGTTGGCGCGGCAGGATCAGGCGTGCGTAACACATGCGTGGGTGGTTGGGACGCGCGCGCAGCCGCGGGAAGGAACGCCAAGCGTGCGGGGGCGCGCGAGTGGGTGGTATGCACGGGCGCTTGCCTAGGCGCGGTAGGCATAGGGAAGGTGCGCTGGCAGGCACGGGCAAGAGGAATGGCGGCAATGCTGGGCGCGCGCACGGGCGCGCGCGTGCGATACGGACACGCGAGTCCTAAGGCGACGAGGACTAGGAGACACGGACGGGCGGCGCGCGCATGCGCGAAGGACGCGCGCGACGCGTATGGAAGGCGGCCGAAATTGGTTTTAATTAGGGAGCTTCTAGATTTGCTTGGTGTGCAAGCTAAGCATTAGTACTTTGGTAGCTTTAGGATTTTATTGCTTTCTAGACTTAGGATTTCTATTCTTGCATGATTTAGGAGATCTATTAGATCTAGGCTTAGATTTATTTTGCAACTATAAATACCCCATGTACTTCATCATATTTTACATGTTGAATGAAGTATTGAATTGGTGAGCCAATCTTGAGGGGGAACTTTATGTTCTTAACGTATGATAAAGAAGGCCATTAGTGCGTCTTTACATGTAGTGTCGGAGAGAAGGCCAATAGTGCGTCTTGAAGTCACGGTGTCTAGGAGAAGGCCGCAGTGCGTCTACTAGATACATCTATCGGGGATAAACGAAGGCCTCAGTGCGTCGTTTATTCGCACCCACGTATAGGCAACCACACGATCCGTCATCAGCGTGCCCTTCCGCGCGCGCGCCCTGCCCGCCGCCTTCCTTTTGCGCGTGCGCGCCGCCACCCTCGCCTATGCCTACCGCGCATAGGCATGCACCTGTCCAATCGCGCGCCATCGCGCGTTTCTCGCCCCGCCCGTCCTTCTCGCGCGCGTACGTCCTGCTGCCCTTCACTCCTATGCCTCCACGGTTTTGGACGCCGCCCGCGTGACCATCACCTGTGTGCCCAGCTCGCCCGCCGCTCGCTGCCCGCGCGTACCTTCCATCGCCCGCGGCCTGATCGCCTACCGTGCACCCCCGTACACCCGTGGTTGCCCGCGTGCTAGCCACCCGCTCTAGCGCATCACCGCTCGATGCGCGCCTTTCGCCCGTTCGATCATCGATCACCCTCGACCACTCTTCGACCTCAACAACCACTTCCGTATCAGGCAGGCAGCACACGCACGTCCGCGCGCAGCAGTGCGCTGATACGGAAGTGGGTATTGACCCTCGATGATGAGAAAGGCCGAGGGCCGAGGCTAATGGACAAGGCCAAGCAAAGAGCACAAACGAGGCTTGCATGGCCTAGGAGACGTGCACGAGCACGTATACGAGGGTGTCGACGTGCACAATGGCATAGAAGGTCGAGCAAGAGGCTCGAGAGATCAAGGCTAGAAGGATCGAGCACATGGAGGTATGCAAGGGCACGCAAAAAGGTGGTCCGTAAGAGGGCGACTATCGAGCGCAAGAAAGGGCGCATTAGACAAGGGCGTAAATACGCGCATTGGCGTAGACGCGCATGGTGCTTGGAGATTAGGCGAAAAGGTGCGCAGGGGGAGGATGTCGGGAGGTTAATGCGCACGAGGGATTGCAGCAAATGGACGAGCGCGCATTGGGCGCTGGACGATACGCGGACAGCGCTGGGCGCACGTAGGCGCGCAGTAGGCGAACGGAGCGCTAGGGCGCTGAGGACGCGTGGGCCAGTGGACAGGTGCGGGAATATCTCGGGGTTATCGAGCGTGGGTAGCAGCTGCGCGGTTGACAAGGACACGCGGGAGCAGACGACGCATGTTGGCGACGCGTGTGGGATGGGCAAAGATCTAGGCCTAGTAGGCTTAGGCAAGCTGGGCGACACGCACGAGATAGTCACGCGGGCGAAGGGTGCGATCCCTTGCACACCCGAAGGGCGAGGCAAGACTAAGGCAACAAGCCTAGTCCTCATAGGAATAGGCATGGTACGAATCATAGACCCCGCAGGACTAGGAAAAGCAGTTGAGTGTCGTAATGCGCGTGAAGGATCGGTGACGGGAGTAATCCTCAGAAGATCAGGCAACGTAGCCGGGAGCATATTCCTAGTAGGAATAGGCAAGGTGGATATGGGCTCGAAGTCTGATCCTTCAAGGAATAGGAATAGCGTACACAAGGCGCGAGACCTTACTCCTCGAGGCAAGCGGATAGGCGGGCGTAGGAGACGCGACCTTAGTCCTCGAGGATTAAGTCAAGGTGGCGTGAGGCGGTGGAGAAGGCCTAGGTGGCGTGAAAGAGAGAGAGAGAGAGGAGGTTGGAAAGTCTTCTACTTGGAGTGCAAGACAAGACTACTTGGAGTGCAAGCCAAGGCGTTAGATCTCCTAGTTATTTAGTTTCCTTATTGCTTTATAATTTCTAGATTGTTTATTATTCTTAATATTTTATTGCTTTATTAGTTCCCTAGGTAGAATAGACTTAGATCTAGTTGGTGCCTATATAAAGGCCCTTCCCTCATGTTATTTTCATTCGTAATTCAATCATCCAAGAAGTCAATAGAAATCTAGAACTTTGTTCTTCCAACTTTGCTTTAGTCTTTTCACCAGAATACTATTGTAATTTTATCGTTTCAATAGGCGCGGTTGTGGCTAGAGAAACACTATCGGCGATTCAAGGCGCGGGTTAGCGGCTTATCGGCAGTCGAAACACACGATCCTCATCATTGGTGCTTTCATTGAGAGGTGTTGATCGTGTGTTTTTCTTCTACCCCATTCCCTTTATTTTTTTTCTTTTCCTATTTTTCGTCCCCCCCCTCCTATATCAAAAAAAAAAAAATATCATCATCTTCAACACGAGTCCTAGAAGCAAAGAGAAGAAAGCCATGGCCAACAAAGAGATGAAAGACAAGATCGATAATCTCGATGTTCAAGTCCGTAGTATGAGCGAGGCCATGAATACCTTAGGCGACGGGCTCGATACAACTAAGGCTTCCGTTCGTGAATTGATGGAGATCATGAAACGCCGTTTCGATGAGATGGCGCGCAACATGATGGCGCGCCAATCACCGCCCTTACGGCCCAATCGCGATCGGCCCAAACATGAAGGACGCCGCGAATGCGAGCATGATGATGACCATGCGCGACGATGCGAGGATCGGGAGCTCGAACGACGCCACGGTCGTGAGCGACACGAAGAGGAACGACGACATGATGAGCGCGAGCGAGACGTGGACCGCGAGCGACGGTGTGAGAAGTACGAGTGGGAAGACGACTTCGACCGACGGTCCCAGGCGTCTAACCACTACGACCGACCGAAGCCAGAAAAGCCAAAGGTCGTGTTATCCACCTTCACCGGTGTAGATCCCGATGCATGGCTCAACCGGGCTGCCCAATATTTCGAGCTGAATGAGATCGAAGGAAACGATCGGGTAAAGTACGCTGCTTACTATCTTGATGGAGAAGCCAACGTGTGGTGGCAGTGGCTTACAAGCGTCTACCGTGGCTGACGACAAGTCATCAGGTGGAACGATTTCGAGCGCGAGTTACTCACGCGCTTCGGCTCATCCGACTACCACAATTACCACGAGGCGCTATCCCGCATACGACAGACCGGCAGCTTGCGCGACTATCTTAAGGAGTTCAAGCGATTGGCATGTCGCGTACGAGGCTGGCCCAAGACTGCGTTGGTTGGGACCTTTATTGGTGGGCTGAAGTATGATCTAGCCGCGGAGGTTCGCTTAGAGCGACCAGAATCAATGCATGCGGCTATGGAAGTGGCCCGACGCCGAGAAGATCACCTTGTGGCCACTCGAAGGGGACGGACGGACGTACGTTATCCCGAAACACGACGCGTACAACCGGATGCAAGTGATATGGTTCTGAGCGGCCGACCACCTAACAACTCTCGACCGACTAATAGCACACGACCACCAGTCAAGCACTTGACGCCCGAGGAAATAAAACGCCGATGTGAGAAAGGACTCTGTTTCAAGTGCGACGAGAAGTTTACGCCTGGCCATCATTGCAAGCAGGCTTTTGTCATCCACCTCATCGATGATGAAGAGCTCGAGATCGAGGAGGATTGGGAGCAAGAAGTCGAGATTGGGGTTCCCGAAGAGGAGGCCGAGATCTCGATGCATGCGATGGCATGTACAAGAGGACCGACGACGATGCGGCTGCCGGCGTTGGTCAAGGACCGTCGTGTAGTCGTGCTAGTAGACAACGGATCGTCGCACAACTTCATCAACGCCGATCTATCTCGAAGGTTGAAGTTGCCAACGATGAAGGTCGAACCATTTGAGGTCCGAGTAGCCAATGGAGAACAGCTAAAGTGCTCAGAGGCTTACCGTGCGATACCGATCAAATTCCAAGGAGTCACCATCAAAGCCGATCTCTATGCGCTACCATTGGTCGGACCCGACGTTGTGTTAGGAGTACAATGGCTCGAAGGTTTAGGAAAGGTGACCACCAACTACCGGATGGGAGTCATGGAGTTTGACTCAGGAGAGCACCGGGTCACGTTAAAAGCAAGCAAAGATAGTAGAGCCAAGGAGTTTGGCCTCAAGAGTATTGAGCGGGTTTGGCATATGGGCGACCAGATTTTCACCGTCGAGGAGGCAAGCGCACATGCAGGCACGGTCGAGTCAGTCAAGAACAAGGAGCTCCCTCTGTTCGACAACTACTTCGAAGAGGACGAGCAAGTCTCGACAAAATATGATGGCCCACCTATTTTTGACGTATACCCCGAGGATGAACTCATGGACGTCGAAGTAATTGAAGAAGACGAGGTCGATGAAACTGGGGTCAAAGGCGATGTGCACGAGGTTTGCACAATCGAACAACAATCCGAGGTAGGCAAGCTGGTTAGAGCATCCGACCACGTATTAGGCGAGTCAGACAAGGAAGAAGGCCGTGACGACGCAAAGTGTAAGGAGCCTATCCTTATGTTTGAATTCACAAAATATTTTAAGGACCCAAAAGTCGACGAGTACATAAAGGAGTCGACGGGTGAAGGCATTTGGGCCGAGTCCAAAGAAGACATTGTGGTCGAGGTGATGACGCCCCAATTAATGGTCGATGACGAGTCCTTGAGGACAAGGACATTCTTAAAGGGGGCGGGAATGATACGGAAGTGGGTATTGACCCCCGTGATGAGAAAGGCCGAGGGTCGAGGCTAATGGACAAGGCCAAGCAAAGAGCGCAAACGAGGCTTGCATGGCCTAGGAGACGTGCACGAGCACGTATACGAGGGTGTCGACGTGCACAATGGCATAGGAGGTCGAGCAAGAGGCTCGAGAGATCAAGGCTAGAAGGATCGAGCACATGGAGGTATGCAAGGGCACGCAAAAAGGTGGTCCGTAAGAGGGCGACTATCGAGCGCAAGAAAGGGCGCATTAGAAAAGGGCGTAAATATGCGCATTGGCGTAGACGCGCATGGCGCTTGGAGATTAGGCGAAAAGGTGCGCAGGGGGAGGATGTCGGGAGGTTAATGCGCACGAGGGATTGCAGCAAATGGACAAGCGCGCATTGGTCGCTGGACGATACGCGGACAGCGCTGGGCGCACGTAGGCGCGCAGTAGGCGAACGGAGCGCTAGGGCGCTGAGGACGCGTGGGCCAGTGGACAGGTGCGGGAATATCGTGGGGTTATGGAGCGTGGGTAGCAGCTGCGCGGTTGACAAGGACACGCAGGAGCAGGCGGCGCATGGGCGAGCCGCATGCGCAGTTGGCGACGCGTGTGGGATGGGCAAAGACCTAGGCCTAGTAGGCTTAGGCAAGCTGGGCGACACGCACGAGATAGTCACGCGGGCGAAGGGTACGATCGATTGCACACCCGAAGGGCGAGGCAAGACTAAGGCAGCAAGCCTAGTCCTCATAGGAATAGGCATGGTGCGAATCCTAGACCCCGCAGAACTAGGAAAAGCAGTTGAGTGTCGTAATGCGCGTGAAGGATCGGTGACGGGAGTAATCCTCGGAAGATCAGGCAACGTAGCCGGGAGCATATTCCTAGTAAGAATAGGCAAGGTGGATATGGGCTCGAAGTCTTATCCTTCAAGGAATAGGAATAGCGTACACAAGGCGCGAGACCTTACTCCTCGAGGCAAGCGGATAGGCGGGCGTAGGAGACGCGACCTTAGTCCTCGAGGATTAAGTCAAGGTGGCGTGAGGCGGTGGAGAAGGCCTAGGTGGCGTGAAAGAGAGAGAGAGAGGAGGTTGGAAAGTCTTCTACTTGGAGTGCAAGACAAGACTACTTGGAGTGCAAGCCAAGTCATTAGATCTCCTAGTTATTTAGTTTCTTTATTGCTTTAAAATTTCTAGATTGTTTATTATTCTTAATATTGTATTGCTTTATTAGTTTCCTAGGTAGAATAGACTTAGATCTAGTTGGTGCCTATATAAAGGCCCTTCCCTCATGTTATTTTCATTCATAATTCAATCATCCAAGAAGTTAATAGAAATCTAGAACTTTGTTCTTCCAACTTTGCTTTAGTCTTTTCACCAGAATACTATTGCAATTTTATCGTTTCAATAGGCGCGG